ACCCAAAGAGGCGCCGGCAGCTCCCCACCGGCAGGGAGAGACAAAAAGAAGCTGGAATATCTAAAAGAAACAACACAGACAGCCAATAACGGACAACAGTGAGCTGCTGTGATATTCTTTTATCACAGTTTCATTGGAACAGTGTGAGGCCTGAAGAGATGAAACTATCCAATACATCACAATAAAATAGCAAAGATTAGGAAACGGCCAAGGAAATGAATGTTAATTTGAGAGTCCGAAGCATGTTTTTTGTTTTAGCAATCTTGTTAACCCTCAGTGGTTTCTTTTTAAGGCTGCACTGTAACCATGATCATAATTGTCTCCACAATGTGAATACTTAATATATACATTTATATGTTGTATTTATCAGTTCAAATGCTCCCTAAATGCGTTTACAGGTAAGAAAGACTGATTAGTCACAGATGAGTGGTTAACAGGTCTTTCCTTCTCAATCATAGCTGCAGCTGCAGGCATGAACGTTTTCAGTTCAAGGACGAACTACAAAGAAACATGTTCATGTAGGGTTTAAGAAGAGATGCGTTTTATTTGCTGTGTCATGTCATATTATCATTACTATAATCTATTCTTAACGACCATAAACAGTTTAAAAACAGTAGTGATCTTGATGTAATAAGCTTTAGAGGCAGCCAGAGTTTAAAGAGAAGGTCCCTTGAGAACTAATTAAGCCAATAACTTTTCACAACTGTGTTTTTCTCTTTTTTTTTTAAACTGTCTGTCTCTTCCTGGCTTTTGTAAGCGATAGCACTGTAAATCAAAGGGCGAGAAACAATGTCTCACAGAACTGCAGACAACCCAATCAGTTTTCTTCCATGGGCTGGAGAAACAGTGCATGTGATTGAAATGTTCAGAGGGACTTGTCCGATACCGAAAGAAAAGATTCAATTTTGTTTTTGACAAACAATTCTAATAGATTCTAGTAAGACACTGCCAATTGTCTAATTCTAAGTCATTAAACAGCATTAGATTGTCATGAAAATGGACTTCAGTGGTGACCAATCCCCTCCCTGGTTTTTAAATCAAGGTACCTTTGTAAAATGGAGGCTGCCAGTGAATTCCATACACCCAGTTCTCATGACCTGCCAGGACCGTCTCGAGAGACACAGCAAACACTGAGGATGTTTGTAACAGGAAGACAGAGAGGCCAGGTGAAGAATGTTACCAAGATACAGTATTAGTTTTAAGCTATGAACAAGAATTTAGTGACTCATTAACTATGTGTAGACAGTGATAATGTATAGTGTTTTCAAAACATCTTCTGTGGTCAGTCACATGTATTTCTAAATGCTCCATGAATCATCAATTAAATCATCAAAGTACACACATACAGGCACCTGATTCTTTATGGAGGTGGGTAACCACCCTGTGCCATTAAACCATCAAAAAGTTCATCTCTTCATCTGGTTTATTAGCACCCTTTTCACAGTCAAGCCAGTGTGGCCCGCTCACCTCTCTCCTTCACTTCAAAAACATCCTCTTTCATTCGGATGATGGTGTGATCGTCCTTTGTGCCAGCGTCTGTCCCAGACTTGGCACGTAGCCTCCACACTCTGATGAGACAGTCCTGTGAACAGCTGGCTAATAACAGCTCCCCACCTGAGTGAATCAGAGAGAGTAGCAAGTCAAAGACATTCTCTGTCAACCCTCAACCTACCTTATTACTGAATTTATCAGAACCGACTATGGATTATTTACTCCTGTGGTACTTTGTAGAAATGTATATCATCAAATAATATGCATTTTCATTTTCATGGTGTAAAAACAATAATGCGAGAACAGACATCAAGTTCAGTATGTAGTATATTTAAAGCTGTCACTACCTAACTGGTGCTGTTGGACCAAACATTTAGTTCTAGGGACTACTCCACTGGCAGCAGAAGCACGGTAGGCAGCAGACTGTCAAGTTAGACGCACCTTTACTGTTGACAAAACTTCAAACTGCATTTTTTGGTTTCTTCAGGGCTGTAACTATAAAATATATGTCACATGCTAAATGTCAGCATGTTTAGTTGTCTGTTAGATCTACATTCCAAGAGAAGCTTGCCCCTGACTGTGTGGCAGCCAGCAAGACGGTAGGAGTGAAGGTCACATATACTCCACAGGTAGCAAACAAAGCACATGCCACTATCCCAGACTGTCCCTGACTCATATTATGTTTCAGGTTTAGTTCAGTAGCCACTGGCCACGTTTTGCCAAGACAAACTGACAAGAAAATTATTCTGTAGCCACCATTTAAAGCCTCCTGAATGTCAGGAACGAAAGGAAATTAGAGTTTGAAATCATGGCATAATGACATTGTTGTTTTGTTTTTGCTACTTACTTGCACCTGTGACTTTTTTGACCCTGGCTGATTATTTTCTATGTAACACTGCTTTAAAAACTTGATGCAAAAAGAATGACCCATTTGCTGTCAACCAATCAGAAGCCACAGCTGGCTGAGGAAATTACTGGTCCTAGTTAAGCTTATTAAATACAGTTACAGAACTGCTAATCTACAGCAAATCAGATACAACAAACCATAAACATACTGTCTACTGTATAAATGGCTCGAATAAAGTATTTTCCAATGAAAATTGGATAATTTAATTCTGTGTACAAATAAAAATACATTTTAAAGGTGGACATAAAGTGAGTGGGTCTTTTTCCTCATAAAGTCCCCGACTCATAAGAGATGACCAGCTGATTTTAAGTTAGGGATGAATTTAAACTACTGCTAAGGCAGATGGAAAGAAAACATGATATTGAAAACAGATTAAAGACAAAATACAAAAACATAAAATATGCTCTGAACTCCAGTATTTATTAGCACTGATAAACTGTACCTCTAGTGCTACAATTTGCCATCTGTCGAGTCATAAAAGACCAGAATGATTTATTTAGCTACTACCACAGTGGAGAGGGGGGATGTTATATTTCATATAAACAAACTTCTATCATTTTGCTGGTTAACAGCTTGGCAGCATGTAGTAACTCATAGACTGTGAGTGGAAAGGAGCCACGGGTGGAGAGGGCTGGTTAAGGGGATGAAATAGTTTTTCCACAATCAGAATAGTGCAGTATTGAAGTACCCTTGAATAGGGTTACACAATTAGTAGAGCCTGGATTGGATCCATGCACTGACAAGTGCTATCACAGTACTATGAATAGCACACTGGTTGGCGAAACTGGACTGACAATAACTGGTACAAAAAGCCAGCCATGTAGTGCATAGTTTAGATCTTTTAAAAGTTCCACTGATCTAAACAGCAAAATCTCTCTTTTAGGTTGCTTGCTTTTTGCTTTAGGAAGGTCACTTCTTTGACATTCTCATCAAATTGGTTAAAAGCTGTGACTGGAAATCTCCTCCTACTGCGCAGTGTTCAGTCAATCACATTATGTGACTCTTTCAAAGCCATGTAGCTGCATTATCCAGCTTTGCAGGCTTGCTTTAGATAAACCAAAGATAATGGAAAGCCGCAAGCACAAGCCTCCCAGCCTTCAGAAGACAAAGACCACTATATCAGAAACAAGCAGCTGATGAGAATGCATCTCCCATATGCATACAATTGTACCAAGTTTCAAAATTACTAATCTATCCATTTATAAAATTAGAAAACATTCTAAACATTTTTACATGTTTGATGGAATATCTGTTTTGCCCATATACTACAGAACTCTTAATTTGAAATCTCAGCTCTGTTATCCTAAGAAAATCTGATTGGGCTTGAGAAGATGCTGGTGATGTGTAGAATGTCTTCAGGATACCCTGTCATTCTCAGGAGCACAGAAGCAAAGTGGATATTTTCTGCTCTGAATTTTTTAAACTAGGTGTTCTAGTAAAAACAAATATATATATCACAGAATGAACCCCATGTAAATATATATTGTATGTATATCTGGCTGTAGCATACTGGGACAGTCACAGTTAACTGAAACTAGGATCTGCTCCTGAAACAACAACACTCCAAACAGTAGCACTCACCTACAGATAGCCATTCCACTCCACGAACCCAGTCTTCATGTCCTTGCAGTGACAGAACATTCTGGAGCTGTTGTAGAGCAATTAAAAAGGCAGCTTTATTTTGGTGATAAAGGCCAAGAGTTGCCCTCAAACTTTAGAAGTTCAAATTAAAGAGTAGGCACAGAATACATGAATGAGTTCCCCTGAGTGAGTATCGATCTGAGCTTACCTGCCCGCTGGACTGCACATACAGATGCACCCGAGAGTCATCACCCCCGCAGGCCAATATGGGAACTGTGAGAAACACACACACACACACATACACAGCAGGTTTCATACATTTAAATCTACATCAAGGTTTCATAAACAGGATGAAGCACAGTGCCAAAAAGACAAAAGGCATGGAAAGTAGAAAGGCAGAATGACACAAGACACTTCAAACAGAGACTGCATTTTGAATCTGACATATGGTTACAGACACTAAAGAAGTGCTGCAAATTAAGATGATGGCATAAGAGGAAAAGGATGTCTATGTAGGAACAGCTTAGGTTTACCTCTGCTGCCTGGCAACAGTGCCAGAGAGACATCCATCATGAAGCCACTGCCAAATGACAGCGTACGGAGGCACTCAGCTGAGGAGCACACATGTACATGGAATTAAAGTTCATGACACACTATGAGTGATATTTCTGCACATTAAAAAAATCATCAAACTGGACTGTTTTCTGCCATGTCCCACTCATGGACAGGGGTAGATTTTTTTCATGTTTTTGACATATTAAAATAATATACATTGTGGTAAAATATGTCCCTTTTGGTCTTTGTGCGAACAGAGTTATAAAGACTCCTGATGCAAGGCACATTTTCGCCCTGCTGCCACCCCTTATGTGTAGATGTCAAGTTGCCAAAGTCTGAATATAGGAACCATAACATAACTTGGTTTTTTTAACCTGGGAATACACTGTAAGGTTATGTCCAGTCTGCATACACACTTTTACTCTCCATGATTATCAAGTATCATCAGTGCTCATCTGCACTGACAGGCGGACAGGAACACTGAACAAAGGGAAGCTGTTATAGGTGACAGCTTGAAAAGAGAACGCAGATATGGACAACAGCTTGGGACAGAACTGATATTCAACTGTGTGAAGAAATGATACAATTAACACAGCTGTTGTAATTCTGTCCACCTACATCATTTAGGAAATAAAAACACTTCAGACAGTACAGTCATTTTTGTCCACAACACATGTGGCATTTCACTTTTTGTTGATCACTGACAGGTTGTTTTTCCTTCCACACATAATATTTTTTGTGATTTTTCAGCTATGAGTCTACTGTAAAAATAATGTCATGGATGTGATGCACCCTAAGTAATGTTTGTAAACACTGCCATACCCACTACACGCCACTTGGGGGCAGAAAAGAGTCGTTTTTTCCTAAAAATACTGACCATATTCAGAATCAGAATCGGCTTTAATTGCCAAGTATACAGGAATTTGTCTCCAGCCAGAGGTGCTCAGTGTGTTTTAGGCAACAGACAATAGAAAACAGCAACAGAATAGTGCAATCAAAGGTTGGGGAAGCGTGGGAGGAGGAGGACAGGCAGTATTCATAAACATTATATACATACATACAGTATATACATATTTTGAGCTATCACACTGGTGCATGTAGTGGTACTATTTACAATTATTGCACTGTGGTGGTTGCCCAATTCTTTTGCTTCCGTCACAGTTAACTGTTAATCAGAGTGATGTCCTTGTGTCTCGTTGTTTTGGCATTCAGTGTCCTGTAGCACTGTCCAGAGGGTTACTTCAGTGGCTTTTAAACTGAGGATCTGAACCCTTAAGAGATTTTCTTTTTGACATCTTATTCATAAGGAAGACAACAGTTTTATTTTTGCATGTCTCTAAAATAAGAGTGAGAAAGGAAAATAACTCTGACTCAACAGCTCACAACCCACGGCCTGTGAAGACTGGTTATCAAGCAACTTCATCATAAAAGGACCACACAAAAAATGTTGGAAACAATCCAAATAAATAGCCCATCCTATCAAAATTAGTACTTTAAAAATATTATTCATTTGTACCATACCCAACATTATTATGGCAACAGTACAGTAACACAGCTCTACAGCTCAACATAAAATGTATTTGCATTTTCTGTGTCTCTTACCTTCTTTAGCTTCACTGCAAAGCCAAAGTCTGACTGTGGAGTCTGATGCTGAAGAGGCCACCAGGATCTTTGAGTACTCTGTGTAGATAGCATCCACAGCACAAACTGGACCAGTGTGGCCCTTACACTGCACTGACTGGTTGAACTGGAAACAGTAGAACAGGATTTTAGGGGACAGACCTATAAAGGCAAGCAGGAAACTTTGAGTCAGAAACACTATGTTATACAGCAGGTGGCTTACCTTCCCATTTTGGGCCTCCCAGAGTATGAGCTGATTGTCTGAGCCTCCTGAGACGAGATGACTCTCCAGAGCTGCGACAACACAAATACCATAGTCAGTAAATATATACTACATACATGTATATGGCTAAAAGAACCTTTGGTGTGAATCGGTTTTTCATGGCTTGGGCTATGCCACTTAGTTACCATAATAAGCAATGACACGTTCAGACAACAGTGTACTTCAGGCACAGTGTGGGGAATGCTTTCTGAATTCCAAGGGGAATGGGTTTTTCTGGGTTTCTTGTGGAAGAACCTGACTGGGTTGTGCATGCAGTAGCCCTCACCCAACTCCAACCAGTACATTTTGAATGAATTGGAACCCCGACAGTGACCGAGGATTATTGCTCAACATCAGTGCCCAATCTTAGTGCTCTCGTGGCTGAATGGCAACAGATCCCTGCAGCCAAAAGATTTCCAGTAATAGTGGCATTATTATGAGCATAATGTTAACTATATGTAAAGTTCGGCTGTATAACTGACTGAAATATGTGTACAATATTGTAGCATGAGCGACATGCTCTCAAAAGGACTTTACACAGTGTTTTAAGGTGACAAAATAAATAAATATTGATTGAAAACTAGTCTTTCACACCAGTGATTTCATTTTAGATCCACAGACAGGCTTCAATTAACATTTAGACATAGTGCTGTACATTTGCTCTGGTGGCATCAAATGATGGTGACACTAACGTGATACAGACCCCAGCCAGGTGTTTGACAGGTTCCCCATCATTCCCCTCACTCACCACAATCCTCTCTGTGAACCCACTGGACTGTATTCACTCGGCCCGTGTGTCCGTTCAGCACACTGATAACTCTCCTTTCCTAAAATAACAGCAAATTATGCATTTGTTAAAATAACGAACAAAATATGTGTATTAACAATTACAGGACACTCGGTTACAATTAGCTATGACAACTAACAACAACAGTTAATTCTGTAGAAGACATTAGACCAACTTTACTACCTGTGGGTCATACAGAGCCACTGAGTTACATGTCCCAAAAGCAATGACACCTCCACGACTCCAAGAAACGACGTTTGGTGTCCTATTTGCGCAACAAGCTACATGGCATGTTTCAATTACGGGCGCCGCCATCTTGGCCGAGGTAGTGATGGCGTTACTGTAAATGTGGCTGTAGTTAAACCGCACCAAGCTAACAACAGTTCCATATCCATTGGTCACTGGTCGGTAAACTCTGATGATACTATTGTTTTAGAAACGTGTTCATACACACGAGATTATATATATAAGTCTTTATTGTTTTAGTATGTTTACGCAAATACTGGAGCATTTTAATCCACTAATTTCCACTACCGCGTAATGTCCACTAGATGGCGGAAGACAGTCACACAATCCCGAGAGGTTACTCATGTAAAAGTGGTCTTAAGGGTTTTATTGATTGCCCATTTCTGCTTTATTAATACAGTATGTAGTTGTATGTTTTAACTTGGCCTTATTTATGAACATTTCGGCAGGATGAATGCTTGGAGATTTGAACACTGATCTTCTGATCGATGGTTGGTCCCCAAATTCTTCAAAGCAATCTTTTGCACATAGTGTCAGTAAATGACACTGAGGAGAACCCATGCATTTACTGAATGGCATACAAAAAAAAGAAGTTGCAATATTTGTATTTGATAACGATGATAGCATGAGTGCATAAGTATCAGCCAGGCTATGTTGCTTTTAGTAACATAAGTCACTCACTTAGCATTGTGGAATATTTCAAACTTTACACTTGTATATTTGTTTTTCCTTGGTCTGGTTAAGGCAGAGAAAAACTAGATAAATACACTGCAATGACTATAACTTAATTACAGATATTTCACATTAGTATGAAATTGCTCCAACAACAATCAAGATGTCACAGTATAGACACACACACTGCTATGCCAAACTGCATTATCCCCATGCCAAGTTTTGACTAATTGCCAGCTAGACAACGTTTCTTATATTAAAATAAATGCCATTTTTAAAAAAGCCCTTGGATTTCAAAGGTTGACACCACACGTTTGTCACAAGGAGTTTCCAGACACGCACTTGACATGATCAGGAGCGTCTGTGAACTCTTGTGATGATGTGATAAATAACAATGTATCAAAGACATTCAGGGATAGAGCCAAATAATATGAGGAAGTGAGCATGGATAGAAGAGAGGAAGAAGGCTGAATCTTTTTTTGGCTTGCCTCTGCCTGTGCTGACTTGTGGTGTATGAGCGTGACAAAGACAAAACAGGCGTGCTGTCATCAACATTTGGGTAGAAAATAGATTGTGTTCGTCTTGCTGCCGTTGTCCCTCCTCACTCAGTGTCAGTGAGGCAGGATTCTGACAGAACTGGCAGGGTGAGATGACCTCTCACTGGAGGTTACCCATGCATCTATGGTTCTCATCTCGGGAGTGGCAGCTAGATGATAGCTGGGGATGCAGCCAAACAGCTGCGTCTGTGGAAAAAAGACATCTTTATTATCTTTGTCCTAATCAGCCTCTTGTGGTAAAGTCTCTGTACCTGGTTACATAAACAGTATTAGATTGATCAAATGTAACAGGTCATTGCAGAAAAGGGCAGGTTTAGTTAGGATCCAGTGAAATTTTCCAATCCCTGGCTTAAAAAGCATAATGATACACTTTTGTGTGAGATGTTCTTTGCACCACAGTGATACAGGCCTCTTGCTATTCATATTCTTCACCAGAACTAAGTAAAAGGGTTCCTCTTACTCAGCGATAACAGGGTCATCCAGGGAAAGCTCTTTAATTTAGCCAGTGGACTCACTCTGTATTAGAAATTATCCTCGTTTTATTGAGTGCCTGAATTATTAATAACCAGGTTGCTGTTAATTAGTTTAAATTCTTAACATATCTACAGTGGAAACATTGAAATGTATTGATTTATAATTAGTTGGGCTATAGCATTTATGTTTGTATACATAGTGAATAAAATGGGTATATATCTGGGTTACTTAACCCTTTCTGACCCTATATTTGTCATAACAGTCATGAATTTGAACATGGGGGAAGTTCACTTTGTTAGTTCTGAAAGTGTGATATAATTTTATTGTGTTTCCACTTATCAATTATTAATATAATGACCCCATGAGTGAGATGTCCTACAGTATGTAATGCCTACATTAGATTACCTTATTACCTTCTTCATCTAGAATTTATGAAAGCAGACAATTAAATATATTTTACAATGTAGATAACATCCTTAAATGTTTTATACATTCATTCCATTGTAACATATGTTGCAATAAAGTGCTCAGTAACTCTGTGCCTGAGGAGCTCTGAAGCCTTCATAGGAGAGTGGATAGTAATTTAGGGAATTACTATAATGAACATCATACTTATGGGAATACTAAGGAGTTAGGGATGGCATAGAAAGACTGTCTGTCTTACTTTTATTACTTAGCGTCTTCAATGTCATTTTCTTACTAAGTCACCTATAAACAAATATATTTTAACACTGTGGTTGAGACATGCTGCAACCTTGTGTAATGATGCTATAATTATACTACTATGCTCCTAAGATTTCTGGCAAGAACACTGTTTGAAACAATTCAGTGTGTATACTTTCTTTATAGAAAAACATAGATTTATCTTGGAGAAGGAATTTCAATGCCAGAATGCAGGTTTAAATAATAAAAATAAATGAAAAAAATGTTGATTGTATTTCCTGAAACAGGTATTAAATACTGAGATAAGACTATTTCTCTTTACACTGGAATCTCTGGCTGAGCAATGTATTGCTTAAAAAGCAATTGGGATCGCATTAGTTCTAGTTCTGATTTCCTCATCAGACTGTAGCTTTCTTTAAAACTCAATAAACTTTACCTTGTTTTTTTAAAAGCACCATCATTATTTCTTTCTTGGAAAACACAGAATACACATATCTCATGTAGTGTCTTTTCCATTACTGATTTTATACGTTGTTTATATACTGTGTTCATTTCTTTTATTTATTTATTTTTACACATTTCTGTGTTTGGGAGTGAACATGTACATTTGCATGCCTACACACAAAGTGCCTGTGTAAAGTGTTAACTTATGTATTACATTTCTACACCTTCCTATGTGTTTATACAGTATCTGCTGCTAGTTATAACTGCAGTGAGGATCTCTGACAATGGAGGCATCCGTCAGACAAAGAAGTGCTGGATGGAAAATGAATAATAACATAATAACATAAGTACTGTATGTGCAAAGTGTATGTGATAATGTAACAACAGAAGTGGAAACATCAAAGCCAAGATTCCTGGGCTGGTGTCTACATGGCACTTAGCTGTTGTCTGGTTTTCTTTACGTGCAATTAAATTAGCCTCATCCCTGAGGGTGCCGACTTGGCAGGGGGAGAGTGGCAAATGACAGATCACCTCTTCCTTATCGGCACTGCTGCTTTGTTATTGTGTTTTCTTATTTGAACATATTCAAAAAACTTGATGTGCGCAGCCAACTAAATATCCAACCAGGTCCCCTCGGCACAGCCTCTCCTTCACAGAGGCCTCTCCGGTCACTGTATCACACTTAAGGCCATAGCAGTGAAATTCCTTTGAAACAAGTTCATCTGACCAGCAGGCTCAGGGTTATAGTTCCTTGAGGGCAAATGTGAATGTGTGAATGGTGGCGTGAAAAGTAATAAACTACCCAATACAAAACGTAATCTTATAAATATATTTATGAGGAGGCTATAATCATGTACAGTAAGAACACTATATGTGTTCATAAAAACACACCTTTCCATATAGGCATGACTGTTTTCCCTGCTCAAACTGGCAATTTTGTACTATTTTAAAATGCAGGGGGGAAAATCCTTCAGCATTCCTTTACATTCCTTCCTTTACATCCCAAATTTATCCAACTTGGGAATATGGGTGCCGGCACTCAGTTTAGTGTGAAAAAATCCCTATCTATTTAGGATCAGAAATTCCTATCCCAGGAGCTGTTCAGCCAGAAGGAATCGTCCAGAGAGAGCGAGAGGGAGAGAAGTCAGCACTTCTAAAGCACAGACAGAGACAGTAGCAGCTGTTAGTAACACTAACACCATGCAAAAGCATATTTTATTCGATGAGTAATACCCTTAGACTGTGCAGATAACTCTACATAAAAGGGGCTTCCTGCTCTGCTTGTATAAATTTTTAGGCACATTTTCAAAAAGCAATGTGCCTAAGAGAGATTAGAGGCAGAGGAGCAAATACTGAATATTCCAGAACAAATGAGATACTGCTTAGAAAAACAAGACTGTTTCTCATCTAGGGGTACGGCACTGACAAATTCAGTGAAAATATATTGCGTTGAAACTATTTGTCTAGAAGATAACTGAGCTATTTCCACTGAAAGTTACAGGATGTATCATATTTCTTATCTTTTTCTACCTCTTGAACTTATCTACTGTGACCACAATAATTTAAGCCAACACAAGTTGACACAGCACAACACTAGAAGCCCGACTAGCACTTGTTATCATCTTATCACTTGGAGTAGAGCTTCAGAGCAGATTAACAAAAAACACACAGATATGATCTAGTTGGTAGAAAAGGCATTCATCAAAGTGGAACACAGCCCTGTTCACTCAAAGCAGTCAAACTGCTTGCATGCTTTCATAATGATGCAGTGTAAGTGTATGTGTGTACACGTCTGTGTGTGTGTGTGGAGTGAAACCTGGGTAAACAGGGAGGGTAAAACTAAAGCATAGCTCTGGGGTTTTAAATAAATACTGGTTGGGCCTGTGAGCAGCACACAGTCTGAACACATAGACACACACTGCTGACACAAAGAACTAGGCAGCCACTGTAATTGATGATATAGCAGGCGGCAAAAGCCTTCACTGACAGTGCAACAGTGTTTATAAGCAATATCTACTCCTCAAGTCATCTGCTGGGCCTCTAATATGAAGTGTTATTCCCCATTTGTCATCCAGTGGCTGCATTTGTAAAGTCAGAAATAGCTACTGGAGCCACTTGAATATACAAAGAATTTGGCAATAGTGTGGTCAGGCTGTGATCCACATGACAAGAAAGCATATTCAGTCCAATTATGGAAACAAATCACTGGATCACAAAATGAGTTTTATTGGGATAACACCTTTGATACTGATGTTGGAGTCTGGCAGCCAGGTTTAAAGAACCTCTGAAGCAGATAATAAACTCATATAAAAATCCCAGCTACAGACAGAAACTGTATAGGGAGCTGAACTTGAGGAGCATATGTCACACTGGATCTTCTGATCCCTATACCAAAATTATTCCAACTGGAAACAGTCATCTTAGCCTGTGTGGCTGTTTGTTTATTTAAAATGAAATGTCATCCTACCATTCCTCTCACCAGTAAAAACATTGCCACACCAAAAGACTCCTATCAATATAGATGTATTGTTTATTCCTTTGGCATTTATAAGTGTCATTAAAAAAAAAACTTTTTTAAAAACTCTCATTTCAACCAAAATCACAGTTGGATTAGATCATAAATTCACACACAAGTGCCACTTCACTCAAGATATTTAAAGGTCCCTTCCTCAATTTTGGACACATACAAAGTCAGCGTGCACCAGGTCCATGTGGCGCAGTGCAGCCAGGTACTGGGAGAGGATGATAGACTCCAGGGGGATAATATGGGATTATTTGACTCAGGGATCAAACCAGAGTCGTGCTATGAGGAAAGAATCCCTCCTCGTTCTGGAGGTCTGAAATCAGCACAGATGAAAAAGGATGATACAATTTAACATGAACTCTTCCTTCTTATATATTATGACCTAAGATAGATGTACTGCAGACCGTTAATATTAGGCTATACAATTGTTTGATTTCATAGATGCTATTTTTTCCTACAATTACATAACTGCTGCAGGTGCGTGAACAAGCACATAAAAATGAAGAGTAATCTTCCTGACTGTCACTGTGCAAAATGATGAAATGCACTGGGGAAAGCCCTGAGCTGCACATAAGCAACCGGCAGTAAAACCCAAAGGTGTGTGTGCACGCTGCGGTGCGTGTGTGCGGTTGCCCACAGTGGTGTGCTGCAGTCCGCTGCCTTGCCGTCGTACAGCCAACTACATGGACATTAGCGGGCGCAGCGGCGCGACCACCGAGCCGGAGCGGATCCAAACAGCGTGCGCGTGTGTGTGTGGAGAGCCACTCGATAAAGGAGTCTAACCAAGAGAGAAACACCCGGTGTGCAAAATCGACTCTTACACCAGTTTACAGCTGCGAAACAGCAGAGGAAAAGCTCTGTGTGGACTGAGTAGTGCCGCGCATTGTGTACCAGGCTGGGAGAGCTCAGGCGGGAATGGCTTCATCTCCGTGCGGCAACAGTAACTTTGATTCCGGTCTGGAAATCAAAACTCGCTCGGTGGAGCAGACGCTTATTCCCTTAGTATCGCAGGTAAGTAACGAAAAGATGACGTTACATTGTATTTTGTGACCCAGCTGGAGTTTTAAAACACACTCGGGCTTCCCAACAGTTCTGACACATGAGGCCAACTTTGGTTCTCGTGTTTACCTGTTTGCAAACGCAGACTGCACGTTTCCGTGTCGTGCTGCGTTTAAAGCCTGTCGCACGTTAGGAGCTTTATTCTGTGTTTTTACATTGGAACTACCGTCATATAGCTGCTCAGTCAACCAGTCACAGATCTGCTTTACAGCCAACTACTAAGTCGACTTGCCATAAACTGCACACGGCCTTCAGGACATATTCCATGAAAACCTTTAACATAAGGCATCCACAGAGATATAGCCTGGGCTACATGACACTAAAGACGGGTTTTGTTGTTGTTTGGCAGGAGTTAGTACTCCAGTTATATAACAAGCTATGGGCTATTGTATTATAAATGGGGAAGTAGGAATAGGAGCAATTAAACACACGGATCCCTTACTTTGCTGGAGACCACACTCCACAGGAATCACTCTTTAAGGGGGCATTTCCCAGAAGCTGTGGACTCCCCATTGCCAGTCCGGACTCCCAATTCTCTAATCGATCCAGTCTCAGGCACCTGCTTTGCTTTTCAACAAGCACAAGAAAATGAAAGACCCACTTAAGGCCACTGCAAGTCTTTCAACAGCTCTTGCCTTGCCCACTCACAACAGCAGTCCCAGCTTTAAAAGTATAGAGTTTATGTCCAGTAGTTAATTCATTGTTTTATTGTGTGGTTCAACAAAGTGAGTTAAAAGTGTTTTGCAGTGATTTTTTGGTGATTTTAGGCCGTTAATCTCCATTTCAGGAACAATTGCAGATGATTCATTTTACAAAGCATCTGCTTTTAACATAAGCATGGCTGTTTTTTTTCTTTTGTTGTTTCCAGCACGTCACAAAGGATGGGAGGTGGGTCGCATCTCCTCAATAGGGGAATGACCACCACTCTTATAAATGCTAATATCCCCTTGTTGTCCAGGCAGCTCAAAGAGTGGAGGCCTGCACAAGATCTGTTGTTTCCAGTGAGAGGACAGAGAGGCACCTCCTGTTGGGTTAACAGAGTCTGGACAATACCGTGATGGAAGGTCCCTGGCACTGTCCTTCCCAGTGTGAATACTGAAAGCCTGCTTCAGATATAATATCACCCTGGACTGAATGGATGTGGGTTAGTTATCAGAAAATAGCATCTGTTAGGAGGTGCGCTTTTTGTGTGGGCTGTTCATTTTATATCATTTTGATTTTCAGTTATTCATAAGTACACCCAGTAGATAGTTTAGCAGTTTGGTTATACAGTATGAGAAATCCAGGGTAAATCTCCAGGTGAGCTTTAATCTTTGATGAAGCAGCAGTTTCTGTAAGAATATTTATAGTAAACACTGCATCTAATAAATCTGCTGTGCTCTACGTTATCTTAATAATATTTACGCTGAGGCAAATTTGTGGTGTCTGCTGAGAAAGACCAACTGCGCTCTATAGTCTGTAGCATAGAACAGTGTGCTGTACACTGTATGCATTCAGAATATTACAGTCGTGGGCCTCAAGGACAGTGTTTCCTAACTTTCTTTTTTCAGTGTGAGTCAAGTCCCCATAGCAACATCGCTCAGCAGTTCTGAAAGAAACATCATTTCCAAGGACCCTTGCCTTCATATGTTTGGTTTGGTTGTTTTAATGTCATGAGGAGGACGGTGACTCTGTCAGGGACGACCGGTACATTAGTCTCTCCTGCTGTGACTTCTTTTCATCCAGTATGGTAACTTGCATGCAGATAACTAACTATATGCAGAGCTGGTAGAGCTGAAAGGATTTGCTGATTAATTAATTGTTTGATTTGCATATACAGCAATAATTATTATAGTTGATTTATCATTTAATAATTTTTCAAGCAGAGATGCTGCAAAATTTGTGTTTCCAGCTGCTCAAATGTTAATACATGAAGATTGAACTCAGTACCTGAACATTTTAATATGCCACCACTGGCTTTGGGAGCTTATAGCAGATTTATTTATTTATTTTTTGCTATTTGCTGACATTATAAAGTCAGAATTATTGAATGCTTAATCCCTGACAATAACCGATAAGCCTACATGAAGCCCTGCATGTTTCATAGTAACTTGATTTCTCCAGTAACTTAAATGGATTTTACATGATAAAATGTGCATGAGATGTGTGGTAGGTTAGTTCAGTAGGTGTCGTAGCATATTAGCTAATAGGAAATATATGTAACAGGAAAATGAAGAGATTCTGCTGTAATTTACTGTTTTTACATTTACAGAACTTGAGCCCTGTTGTGTTAGTGTTTTAGTTATTTGCAGAGAATCAAAAAAGATATCTTTATAACTTATATATATGTGCAGTGGTTATTGGATTTAATTTGAGTACAGTAACCTTAGTTAAGGGGAATCAGTATTGCCTTACATGGATTTTAACTAAATGATTACTGTATAGTCTTTAAATGCACTGACTGTGGGCTGTTTTGTGGATTTTCTTCTTAAGAAGCTTTGTATATACAGTGGGTACAGAAAGTATTCAGACCCCCTTAAATTTTTCACTCTTTGTTATATTGCAGCCATATGCTAAAATCATTTAAGTTCATTTTTTTCCTCATTAATGTACACACAGCACCCCATATTGACAGAAAAACACAGAAT